CACATAGGAGTGTGTATGAATTTGGTTCTCTAGGCCCCCCAGGCGGACACAAACTGCGTCTGGGGGGGTGGGAGTTCCAGAATGGTCGTCTTGAGAGCTGTGCTCAAGAGACACAGGATGGCCCCGGGGGCTTCTTAGGAAGCAACAGCTTCCTTTCCAAAAAGGATGTCGGCGGGAGGTAGGCCAAGGAAGGCCTGGCCAAGGAGGGCTCTTTTTTCTCCATCACGCAACACACCTGCTGGCCCTTTGAGCAGGGTTTTGGGCTGGGAGACCTTACCTGTCCAGCCCGGCCTTACTCCTTCCAGCACACCCGTGTTCATCAAACTTTGAGAATACCAGGAAGGAGCACTACTCGGTGCCTTGATGGCGCCCCGATGCCCTTGCCCCCGGGTGTTGATATGAGAGGGGGGTGGGAGGAGGTAGGTGGACAGGCCACCTCCAAAGGAGTGCAGAGCCAGGCAGGGGGTCCATGGAGAGGCCATCGCTCCCCACCTGGGTGTCTCCATTGAATGAGGGTGTCTGCGACTGCCGCGGTCACGGGGTTTTCCATGTAAGCAGTGTGTCCGGGAGACGGGACACAGTCGAGTTGGGCCATTTGACTGTGCAGCAGCTCAGCACCTGGGTGTGCCACACCAGGGAGGGGAGCCCAACAGATACCCCACTGGGCATTGAGAAGACGGAGTGAGGGTCTGCTGCAGACACAGCTCCGTGCAGCTGACAGGCGCTCCCCACCTTGTCGCTGTTTCAGGCACCGTCCAGTGGGTTTGTGACCGCAGCGGCTCAATGAGGGACAGTGCAGGGCAGCACCGCCCGGCCCTCCGGGGCCCTTGACGCAGCCGCTAAGTCCATCCATCTGGTCGAGGGCCTCTTTCGCTGTCCCTCTGCTTTGTCAAACGCCATGTCCTCCTCCAGGGCCTGGTCTCTCCGGACGACACGTCCAAAGTATGGGGCACAAAGCCTCGCCAGTCATGCCCATGAGGAGCACTCCGGTCGCGCTTCCTCCAAGACAGACCTGTCTGCTCTCCTGGCCGTCTGTGGGGCTTTCCGTGTCTTCCCTGGCACCGGCAGACACATGTAGTGATCGATTCTTCTTCGGTCTGCCTTCCTCAGTGCCCGACATGTCGCCCTCAGTGTCGGGCGCACCTTAGTCTCCCACGTCACCTCCTAGGTGGCTGCCGTGAGAGCACATGGTGGGTGATGACAGGGAGCAGGCGGGCTACCAGGGCATGGGGCTCGAGGACCAGAAGACCCAGGCAGCTGGGTTCACAGGACAGCACCAAAGAGGACCCCCTGTCACACAGCTGGGGACCCTGAAGAGCTGCAGGGGGCGGGCTGGGGCATGGGCAGCTCATGTGTGCCCCTGAGGGGTGTCCCAGAAGGAGCCAGAGAAAGACCCACGCAAAGGGCTGGAGGGACAGTGTCGGGTGCTCCCTAGGGCTGGGGACACAGCCGGCTCTCCCAGACCAGCGGTAAATCCTCAGAATTCAGGGGCCCTGGGTGGGCTTCCCAGAAGGGCCTGCCTCCCTTATGGAAGAATGAGGCCCATCTGAGCCAGGTACCTGATGACCCGCCCTCACAACACAAAGGAGAAGGGGAGGCCGAGCGAGACACCCCCCACCACCCCCACCCCCGCCCCCCGGCTGGCATCAAGCTCCCTCTGTTCACCCGCTGGCCGGGCGACCTGTCCTGGGAGCCCCCTGCTCAGGAAGCCCTGCAAGGGCTTTCCAGTGCCAGTCCGGCAGCAGGTCCTGGTGGGGGCCCCAGGTCAGTGCCCACATTAGGAGGTCTACCCCAAATCTTTCTGCAGCATCCTTCCACCAAAGACTGGTCCCTTGTGAATCTGCAACTCCGATTCTACTGCGTCTCTGGGCAGCTGGCACCCTGGGCCGGCCGCCGGAGCCAGGCTGTGGTCTGCAGGAAGCAGGAGGGAGTGGGGTGGGATCCTGTCAGACCAAGGAGGAGGGGTGGGGTTGGGGGAGGTAGGGGAAGGGTCTGCCAGGGCTCCTCTGTGAGTTATGGGGCTGCCCTAATCACTGAGCACAGAGCCAGGGAATTGGGAAGGAGGGTGTCCTACCCCTTCCTTTAGCAAGCGCTTTAGTACCCAGCTCCCCCCACCACCCCGCCCCTCTCCAAGGCCCCATCAGACACACAACCTTGAACCCAACCTTGGCGGAGCCCCACATCCCCACCCACAGATCAGATCTTGGCCAAGGACAGAGTCAGCGATTTTCAGAGCTCCCCTGTGCCCCAATCCGGGCCCCTCCCGCTCCCCGGCACCCCGCTTCTCTGGGTGGGGATCCTGGTCAGGCCATGCACACCACGCCCTCCACACCCCAGCCTGTTTGCAGTCATGACCTGCACACAGGCACCCTCCTCTTCCAGGGGCAGACCGACCGTCTGTCCCTCATCATCCCAGACCACCCCTCGGCAGTGCCTGGTCTTGGGCAGCACCCCTCCACTGTAAGCAGGGTGCTAGCACCCCCAGGTTCGCAAAAGCAATGCTACAGGAATGACAAGGCCCTTAGACGCCCCTAGATCTGTACACCCCTCACTCTCACCCAGACGCTCCTGACTCACGACGACCCTATCCAACAGGGAGAACGGCGCCTGTGGGCTTCAGAGGGTGTAACTCTGCAGGATCAGAAAGCCTCCTCTTGCTCCCGTGGAGAAGCTGCTAGTTTTGAACGTCTGACCTTCCACCAACCTACTACACCCCAAAAATTCTGTCTCCTAGCTCCACCCACCCTTTCTGTCTCCAGCACCGGATCCTGCTCCAAACCCACCAAGGCCCCAAATGGTCCCCTCCCTCCTGTTGCAGCCCCCTGACACCCCATTTCCTGGCCTCCCTGCCCTACAGTGCAGAGAAGGAAGCAGTGTATGGAGAGGCGGGCCTGATCAGTAGCCCCAAGGCAGCCTGCGAGGGGCTGGGAGGAGGGTCTGTATGGCAGCAGCCTGAGGACAAGGCTTGACCTACACTGGGTCCCGGGTGTGGGGAAGTTCCTGGTAAAGACCACTGCCCGGGGGTTCCCAAGAAACACGGGGTTGGTGGGGAACCCTAGGGGAGGAGGGACAGGAAGATGGGGGCAACCAGCCTGGCTAAGGATGGCATGGAGTTCCTGATGGGGGGCTGAGGGGAGATAATGGGCACCCCAACAATCTCTGATAGTGCGTGGACCTGGTCAGGTGGTGGGGGCCCCTGGGGTAAGGCCAGATGTCGGTCCCTGAGTGGTGTTGGGGGGAGTCCAGGCATGTGAGCTCCAGCAGACTGAGTGAGGCTGGAATGGGGGAGATGCCTGCGGACCAGCGTGGTCTGGGGGAGCCATACAGTGTGTGGGGGTAGGCATGGTCTGGGGGACTCCCTTGT